GCTTTATTTAACAGCTGGTCTTATGTCTGTGACCCCTCTTGTTGTTAATTGATGAGCCTGAAACATGCACTGTTCAAGGTTCAGAGGCACATTTTGCAAATATGGCAGTAGCCATCGATCGTCTTAAGATAAGATATACTTTATTGATCCCAAGTTGGAGAAAAATTCGTTACAGCAGCATGTGTAACAGTTGTAAATATGCAGTGGTGTTTATTTTTAAATCATTTAGTATAATCACACAAATTCTGTGTTTTATATTTAATAATTCTGTGTTCTTTATTTATTGAATGTTCAATACCTGACAAGGTCGGAGATGAAAAACTTGGGTCGCATCCTCAACAGTGCATTACAAGACATCTATCAATATGTGTGTACCTGTCAGGGTTGAGTGAAGCAGGCAGGACCCAAATGCAGATTAAACAGAAAATACCTTTATTTCAAGGCTACAAGAACATACAGAGCAGAGGCATGTACTACAAAGCAGGATTTTCGCTTAGCCGGCTAACTTCAGGCAAAACTCTGGGTTTCCGGTCCTACGACGCTGGTTCTCTTTTTAGCGGGCTAGATCTCCATGGTAACTTATGCTGAGCGGCTAACCTGATCGGTTAAGAGATCAACTCAGTGTGAACGTGAACATTAATAGAATATGACCTCCCATCTTCAGAGCAATCTGACAATTATAACATTAGCGTTAAGAAAGCTTACTTAAATATCTGCCACAACATAAGTAACCGGATCAGAGTAACATTAAGTACAGTCCGCGGCATATCACATCATAATGTATCATATATCTCCTTATCTGAGTCAGCTGAGCCGTATCTGGCCGTGCAACACTCTCAGTGTCACAGACTGGATGCAGAAGTATTATTTTAAGCAACACATTAAGTTGAGGAAACAACTACTAGAAGGGAAGGGTGACTCGTGCGAGCGGCCCAGGGGCAAAGCAGAGGCCGAGAAGGGGGACTCGGGCGGACGGCCCAGGGGCAAAGCAGAGGCCGAGAAGGGGGACTCAGGCGGACAGCCCAGGGTCAAGGTAGAGGCCAAGAAGGGGGACTCGTGCGGACGGCCCGGGGGAACAGCAACAGAGCAGGGAAGTCCGCGGCGGGGAAACTCAAAGTGCAGAAGACAGGGGTGAAGGCCTCGTCGGGGTAAATTAGGGGGGCCGGACTCGAGGGAGAAGGCAGCGGCTGGGAAAGTCAGGGGGCCCGGCTCAAGGGCGAAGGCAGCGGCTGGGAAAGTCAGGGGGCCGGGCTTGAGGGTGAAGGCCGCGGCTGGGGAACTCATGGGGCCGGGCTCGAGGGCGAAGGCCGCGGCACTCAGGGGGTCCGGCTCGAGGGCAAAGGCCGCGGCTGGGAACTCAGGGGGCCGGGCTCGAGGGCGAAGGCTGCGGCACTCAGGGGGCCGGGCTCGAGGGCGAAGGCCGCGGCTGGGGAACTCAGGGGGCCGGGCACAAGGACGGGCAAGAAGGCGGCGACGGGACAGCTCCGGAGGACGGGCAGGAAGACGGCGTAGGCCGCGTTGGGACCTCTCCGGGGTCAGCTGGATCGCCGGAGCAGGAGCACAGGAATCAGGAGCACTGGGAGCTGGGGATGGCAGGACAGGAACCAGTGTTGTCGGGACAGGAACCGGTGTCGGCCGGACAGGAACCGGTGTCGGCCGGACAGGAACCGTAGCCGTCGGGACAGGTGCAGACAGAACCCACGATGGGACAGGCACAGACGAGACCTTGGACAGAACATGGGCTGGTGTTAGTGGGACCCCGGACGGGGAAAGGGCTGGTGTCGACTGGACCCCAGACGGAACAAGGGCTGGTGTCGACGGGACCGCCGTCGGAACAGGACACGGTGTCGGCGGAGGAGGTGTCAGCAGGACCCCCAACAGAGCTGGACATGGTGTAGACGGGTCAGGATCTGGTGGCAGCGGGACCTCTGACTGAATAGGATTAAGAGCTGGCTGGACCTCCGACGGAACAGGTGTTGGTGGGACCCCCAGCGGGACAGGTGTCGGCGGGACCCCCAACAGGTCAAGGCACGGAGTTGGCAGGACTCCCAGCGGAACCCCCAACGAAACAAGACAAGGTGTTGGCAGGACCCCCGGCGAGACAGGTGACGGCGGAACCCCAACGGAACAGGACACAGAGTTGGCAGGACCCCCATCGGAACCCCCAACGGACCAGGACATGGGGTTGGCAGGTCCCCTGGCAGAACAGTAGTCGGCGGGACCCCCAACAGGACAGGACACAGAGTTGGCAGGACCCTCAGCAGAACCCCCAACGAAACAGGACATGGAGTTGGCAGGACCCCCGGCGAGACAGGTGACGGCGGGACACCCAACGGAACAGGACACAGAGTTGGTAGGACCCCCAGCGGAACCCCCAACGGACCAGGACATTGGGTTGGCAGGACCCCCAGCAGAACAGTAGTCGGTGGGACCCCCAACGGGACAGGACATAGAGTTGGCAGGACCCCCGGCGAGACAGGTGTCGGCGGGACCCCCAACAGGACAGGACGCAGAGTTTGCAGGACCCTCAGCGGAACCCCCAACGGAACAGGACATGGTGTCGGCAGGACCCCCGGCGGAAAAGGTGATGGCGGGACCTCCAACAGAACACGGGGAGCTGGAGTTGGCCGGAACGCCTATAGGACACGAGGGGCTAGAGTGGGCCGGAAAGCCGGAACTGGAGCCGGTACGGGAGCCAGAATCATGGCTGCAGGGGCCGATATTGGAGCCGGAACCATGGCTGCAGGGGCCGGTACTGGAGCCGGAACCATGGCTGCAGGGGCCGGTACCGGAGCCGGTACGGAAGCCAGAACCATAGCTGCAGGGGCCGGAACTGGAGCCGGAACCATGGCTGCAGGGGCCGGTACTGGAGCCGGTACGGAAGCCAGAACCATAGCTGCTGGGGCTGGTACTGGAACCGGAAGCATGGCTTCTGGGGCTGGTAGCCTGGACTTGCGACTCCTTCTCTTAGGAGCCTTTTGGAGGCTCTGTGGACCTCCAAAAGCCAGACGAGTTCCTGAGAACGGATCCTGGACAGGGGCAGGAAATGGGGAAGAAGCAGGGGCTGACAGAACACACCGAGACGTATGGTGTCAGGTTGGGAATTGGGAGGCAAAGGGCTATTATGCCTGATGATATCCCATAATTGGCATAGAGCTGTTGAGGGCCGGACCATTAGCCATCATCTGAAATCTGGTGCCGTTTGGACGATTTTCCATTGAGTTACGACAACACCGTGTTTTATGGCGAGGGATCTGGCGCCATGGCAACGGCATATGATGACATCCCCTAATTGCAATAGAGCTGTTGAGGGCCGGACCATTAGCCATCATCTGAAGTCTGGTGCCGTTAGGACGATTTTCCATTGAGTTACAACAACATCGTTGGAAACGGCATATGATGACATCCCATAATTGGCATAGAGTCTGGTGCCGTTTGGACCATTTTTATAGGAGTAACAGCGACTCCGTGTTGCATGGCGAGGGATCTGTTGCCATGGCAACGGCACATTAAGTAACATCAGATTTGACATAGAGCTTCTACTTTCCCCCTATGAAAGTATGTACTCTTAATATGTTTATGTTTTCATCAAATATAACGTATCAAAAAATAATAACGTACAGTGTTAACACAATACAATATACTGCTGTTTCCAGTTTAGTTTATGATGGATGTATTTTGTTATCCATATTGTTTTTATATTTGTAACACCAAACCGACAGAAAATATGGTCGTAACATGACCAGTGGTCTAGTTAATCAAAAATATATTATCAAACATAATATTAAAATGAACTCTTATTTTGAAAATACAGCTTCCTGTGTTCGAATGAGCTGCTCCGACTGTTCGGTCCTGACAGACTCCAAAAGTCCGACATTATACAATCAAACAAATAAATAAACACAAGGATAATGATGTGTTATTGTTGAGTAAATAACAGTGTGTGGTTTAGAAAATAATGCAAAATTAGAAGGAAAAAACGATGAAACAATACAGATGTTAGTATTCTGAGCCCCTACTCTCTCCATAACTGACGGCAACACAAGTCCTGCATTATTCAATTAAAATAAAGAAGTAAAAACAATAAGTGTGGCTTGATATTGAGTTAGAAAAAGGTTGATAAACGCTGTGAGAATGGATCTGCAGAGAGCATTTCTCCACGATCCCAACTCCTCTATTACCAGCGTTCAGGGAGCTCAATGCAAGTCAATGGGACGCCCTGAGAGTTGAAACTCGACGCTAAAGGGCCCCCCTTGCGTTGGAAAGTGACGACAGGGAACCTGACATGACGTCAACATAGGCCGAGCTGGGAGTGAGAATGTGTTGGATTACAGATACAGGCTAAATGCTGCAGATTACTCTTCAACTGACTTCAATTCATCTTCCCTCTCTCTCTCTCTCTCTGATAGGAGATCTGAGAGATGCTATAGAGAAGCTCTCGCTCTCTATCGAGGCTCTCTCATCGATTCTCTCTCTCTCTCTCGATATCTCTCCTCTCTCTCTCTCTATCTATCTCTCTCTCTCTCTCTCTACTCCTCTCTCTCTCTCTCCTCTCTCGCTCTCCCCCCTCCCTAACCCTAACCCCGTTTTGCAAAAAGTGCAGATTGGGTGCAGAGCTGAAAATGTGTTTAGAGTTTTGAGCTCAGGCTCTTTGAGTGTGAGTTGAACTAATTATGCTTTATGTGAGATTTTAGTGTGTTAGCAACTGAAACTTTAATATCATCTCCACATGTTCCTGTGAAAGCTTCTTCACATGAGACTCTTTGGATAGTGACAGTAGATCAACAGCTGAGCGCTGATGCTGTTTCCCTTTCCTTATCTCTTATTTTACAATAATAAGTATTAGGTCTGAGATCATTGATGGATCACCTGCTGATGAAGATCAGGCTGTTAGACATCATTCTCAGTGAATATGAGACGTCAGTCTGAATGGTTTCTGTCAGTCAGTAAAGTAGTTCATAAATGAACAGATGATAACCTGCAGCTGTTCTCTCCATCAGATGCCTGTGAACTGGAGCTGGACTCAAACACAGCTCACAGAGGACTCAAACTGTCTGAAGACAACAGGACGGTGACACTTGTGAGGAGGGAGGAGCCATATCCTGATCATCCAGAGAGGTTTGACTTCTACGAACAGCTGATGTGCAGAGAAGCTCTGACTGGTCGCTGCTACTGGGAGGTCGAGTGGAGCGGAAAGGTTCATATAGCAGTGACTTACAGAGGAATCAGCAGGAGAGGAGACAGTAAGGACTGTAGGTTTGGATGGAATGATCAGTCCTGGAGTCTGAGATACTCTGACGGGTGTTACTCTGTCTGGCACAATGAGAGAAGAACACGCACCTCCTCCCCCTCCTCCCCCTCTGGTAGAGTAGCAGTGTATCTGAATCATCCTGCTGGTTCTCTCTCCTTCTACAGAGTCTCCTCTGACAGACTGATCCACCTCCACACCATCAGAACCACATTCACTGAACCTCTTTATGCTGGGTTCAGGTTATGGACTGGTTCCTCTTCAGTGTCTCTGGATCCTCTGCAGGTCTGAGAGTCTCTCCTCAGCGTCTCTGGTTCCTCTGCAGGTCTGAGATTGTAAAAGTTCTCTAAAAATACAGGAAGCACATTATGATGGTCTACTTCTGGTTAGGCTGGGCTTATGAAAGCCAATGTGATATGTTTGTAATGATAAGAGCTTTGTGTGTATTGAATTGGTAAAATTATTTTCATCGGTTAAACCTTTTCTTTAAACCTCTGGACAATCTTCTAAAATACAATCCTTATGTCGTTGGTTAAAACCTTAACTTTCCTCTTCAGTTGCAACACACAATTATTCGAGAGTGCTTCTATGGTGAACTACCCAGTGAAACCCTGTTATTTGTTTTCCTCTCACTGTTGCTGACTTTATATCCTACCAGCAGAAGCAGAATAAAATGCACATATTAGGGTTCCACAAGGTTCCATTATTGGACCATTACTGTTTTCTCTGTACATTAATGACTTGCCTAATGTATGTCCTGAGTTGATTGTGCAAATGTATGCCGATGATACGGTCATCTTTGTACACAGGAAGAACAATGAAATTATCTCATCTTGTCTCTCAAAAGCTTTGGACAAGGTTCAACACTGGCTGAACAACATTTGCTTACAGTTAAATGTAAAAAAAATAGTATGCATGATGTTCAGTAAACGACCAGTCAAAATTGAAGGATCCAACATGTTTTTAAACGGAGCAGAAATAGAACTAGTCTCCCAGTTCAAGTATCTTGGAGTCATACTGGACTCGAACTTGACTTTTAAGAAGCATATCAAGAAAGTATCCAATACCATTAACCTGGGACCCTGTTTTTTTTTTTCACGACACTGTGTCTCAGGGAATCTTAATATTTAAGAACCTATTAATGTGTTCTACCAGATTAACAGAAATAATCTCAGCTAACTGACGATACAAACCATTTTTACCAAAACAAAGACAAGTCTCATAAGAAGCATCTAAATGACCCCTGAACGAAAAATGCTAACGGACTTTGGCACAGAACTCAAGATAAAAGTACCCTTATTACTTATCGTAGCTGCACTTACAAGATATCCGATTAAAGCTGAGGTTCCACAGATTATTTAGGTATATATATCATCACTGAGTGATCCGGACTCGCGACAGGGGAAGCAAATACAGACATCACAACACGTACCTTTACGGAGCTTCTAGGGAGATCGTCTCACCGTAGCTGTCAATCTGATCAAAAGACGTGTTCAATGGCATTAAAACGAGAAAAAACGCGGCTGAATCGGTTAATCCATAGGTTTTTAACGTCTCTGTATAAAAAAATGATTTAATTTATAATCCATAATTCCATTTGTATGTAAAAATCGGAGAGCGGAAATGTTAGCTGCTAATGGTAGCCACCAGAGTGGCTGCTGCTTCCGGTCTAGGCTATGCGGGAGTCTCACACACACACATTACCAAATAAGGACTATGTGGGAGTTCCCCTCGATTATATTGGCTCTGACTGTCAGGAAGAGATGTCACATGTCAAAATCCAGCAAGGGGGGCCAGAGATATGGAAAATCCACCCAAATGGCCCCAGAAGAGGGTTTTTTTGCTAAATCTGTCTATATAATAGGGCTGCAACAAACGACTAATTTGATAATCGATTAATCTATCGATTAATGAAGCGATTAATCAATTATTCGGACTATTACTGTATGCCTTGCACAATTTCTCAAATGCTCTTATTTAGCCATCAACTTTTAGATGTAGCTTGAGGTTGTTTTAGGCATGTGGAAACTAACAATGAAGATGAATTGATTAAAAAATACATATATTATTAAATTAACTAAACAAATTATGAACAGAATTAACATTGCTTTTTATTTAAATTGAATAAATAATATTTCACATCAAAAGAAACAACAATGTTTTAACAAATCGTATTAAATAATGTGATGACGGAACTGTAAACAGAATAGCTGAAACTTTAACTAAATAAATAACTCAGTTACCTCTAATCATTAACCCATGTTTGTATAATGGAGTTAACTCCGTGTGTTGCTGCTAGCATACATAACACCTGACGTGGAAACGTTACTCGTGGATGGGGCTACAGAGCTGCTAGAAAGACAGCCGGTGCATTTCTCCGTCTGGATGTGGAGCACTTTGGATAAATGTTTCGACAAATTGCTCGTGTTGCCGCCCTTACATGCTAAACTCTTATTGGACTTGTGGCAAGGAGCATTGTCCACCTCGAGACGGGTAACATTTAACCTTGGAGCGCTTCTCTCCGCCATCCCCGCCGTGTGTTGCATGCATGTAGCAGCCGTGTGTGTGTTGCATGCATGTAGCAGCCGTGTGTGTGTTGCTGCATGTAGCAGCCGCATGTGTGTAAACTGCCCCGCCCCCTCCCACACATACTGGGGAGAGAGAGATCTCGTCTCGATTGGAAAGATCGAAAATACACCATAGACGCATTCTTTTGTCTTTTTGCATGTTATAAACGAGTTGGTGAAACTAAGACTACGATATAATGTTTTTGTAGCAATAATACATGACATATCTTTTTTAAATGTCTCCAGTACCGATAAAAAGACCGATAACGTTGGAGTTTAACGGCGCGAAAAACACACGTGATGACGTCACCAACGAATCGACGACTGAATTAGTTGGCAACTAATTTGGTCATCAATTTTAATCGAATAAGTCGATTAGTTGTTGCACCCCTAGTCTAAAAAGGTCAAATATCACTTGTTTTGCATCAATCTTGATACAGGGTACTTATTATATGTTGTACTTTGGATTCCTAAAGCTTTTAGTCTACTAACCCATCTTCCAAGGTTAGTTTTCACTATAAGTACAACATATTTTTTGGACGGACACTATAATTTACATTTTTTTACTGTGTTAAATCTGAATTTTCTTTAAAATAAAAAACATCTATATTGAATCTGACTTTTCTACATCCAACTCACAGGTTTATCATTACTTTGAGAAAAAAGATTATTAATTTAACCCTTTTAGAAGATATGGTCATTTGTTCTGGGGATGTCATTTTCGAGCCTGAAACCTGAAAAACAGGCTCAGGGTTTAACAGGTTAAATTCAACTTGCTAAATTTGAACCTGTTAAGCCTGTTTTTAAGGTTTCAGGCTCGAAAATGCTATGCCCAAAACAAGGGGTTACGTATTGTAACCCTAGTTATATAAGCACAGGCGGAGCCCTCTACTGGACTCTATGGGTACTACTCTCAATCATGCTGTGCGTGCTTTCACCTACTGAGTTTACATAAACGTAGCCGGCCAATCGGGGCGAGCCTACCTGAATGCGCGCGCAGGCCCACAGTATATAAAGGTGGCTACACCCGCCGCCCACTATCCTATACACTCTTCAGCGAGCGGACTAGGAAAGACAGGGCCCCCAGGTAGAGGGCTCCGCCTGTGCTTATATAACTAGGGTTACAATACGTAACCCCCTGTTATATTTCACACAGGCTCCAGCGCCCTCTACTGGACTCTATGGGTACAGTGGGAGGGATCCCCGATGTATACACGCCCTGTCATCCAACAACATTGACCCACCACACCGTCCCTGACCGGCTTTTGGCTAACATCCATTACATCCCCACTTCCTTCCATCCGGTTGTAACCGTCGAGAAGTTGGGGCCGCAATTTGGATTAGGCACACTCACACACGCTTACTTCGTGTAGAGTGTGCATGGAAAAGATCTGTGCGGAGACTCCGTCTGGAGCCTACCGCACACCATGTTCCCCAGGTCCCTCAGGAGTATGGGAAAACATAAGTGCACCACGTCCCCCACACTCACACATGCTCCGTGTGGGCATGGACAATAGTGAGGAAGGCTCTCCCAGCCTGCCTCCAGCCCTGTATGAGGCTGATTGCGCACCATGTCTCCCGAGTTCCTCAGGAGCATGGGAAAACACAAGTGCTTTATGTCCAGGGGGGGGTCAGACACCTGCTGACCCACAGCCACCCTCCCTCTCACCAGTCATGCGTTGCCTCGGCAAACACAGACAACGAGAAGGAGCCAGATATGTCCAGGAGATAACATTTTATGAAGGAGCCTGGCGTAGACCAAGACGCCGCCGTGCATATATCTTGGACACTCACGCTGCTGAATAAGGCTGTTTGACACAGCCACAGCCCGTGTAGAATGTGCACGGACCCCAGTGGGGAGGGCTCTCCCCGGCCGTCCATAGGCATGTATAATGCACCTGCATAGCCATCCTGTTAGGCGCTTCTTGGAGAGAGCTTTTCTAGCCACACCATCCCCAAAGCACACAAACAGCTGTTCAGTGCGTCTAATGGCAGCCGTGCGCTCTACATAACATGCTAGCGCATGCACTGGGCAGAGGAGGTGCAATTTAGCCTCCCTGGCCTCAATATGGGGTGGAAGATTAAAGCCACCTAACTGAATAGCCCTTGACCTGAACGAACTCCTTAGGCTCTTAGGAGTAAAGGAGGGGTTCGGTCTGAGTGTCGCCCCGCTACGGTCACCCCGGATCAAAAGGAAGCTTGGGTGCACCGACAGAGCGGTCAGCTCGGACACTCTTTTGGCCGAAGTCAAGGCAAGTAGCAATGCTGTCTTCCATGACAGTGCTTTCAGGGAGGAGAGCTCCAGGGGCTCAAATGGTTCTGTGACCAGAGCCTCAAGCACCAACGGCAGGTCCCACTGCAGGGAGGAGGTGTGCACCACTGGGCGCTGCCTCCTGACCCCCTGCAAAAACCGCGACATAAGCGGCTGACTGAAGGCTGACCTGCCTCCAAATCCCTCATGGCAGGACGAAATGGGTGCTGCATACACCTTAATTGTGGAATGAGCCAGCCCCCTGTCCACCAGTATCTGTAAGTAGGTAAGAATAGAGCCCAGCGTGCACGACAGAGGCTCTAGACTCCTTCCTTCACACCATCGCCGGAATCCCACCCACTTTGGCCTGTAACAGGCTGTGGTGGATTCTGCTCCTGCTGCTTGGATAGTCTGAATAACGTTGTCAGACAGCCCCATCTGTCTCAGCCTGTCCCTCTCAGGAGCCAAGCCTGTAATATTGTATTTTATTATAATGTTATGTTCATTGTGAAGCACTTTGGCAAACCCTCTGTTTTTAAACTGTGCTATATAAATAAAGTGGATTGGATTGGAGAGGTTGGCCCAGAGTGGGTAACGCCCCTATTGCACCTGCTTCCTGAGACAGCGCTCCCCAGACCTGAAGAATAGCCCAGGGCTGGCCCACCATTATCTTTGTTACCCCCTCGTACCACGGCGCCAGGCAGCGAGCTGCTCCCGCCTCACCCTCTCCAGGAGGGGGGGGGGGGAGTAAGGTGCAGCAGTGGAAAGGCGTAAAGCAGCTTCCTTGGCCATGGCTCGTGTGCGAATGCGTCGACCCCCAAGGGCGGATTGTCCCACCGGGCCAGGGAGAACCACAGGGCACAGTGGCTGTTG